AATAATACACTGTATAATCACCGCTTCTTATTTCACCTTGTCCTTTCCACCGCACTTCGCTGACACCTAGAACAGACACTTCATTCTTCTGCATTTCCGTTTTCAAATTCTCCAATTTTCCTGCTTGATTCAAGGTCCTGACATTCCATGTTCCAATCTTGTATCCATGCTGTTTCAGCCAGAAATTTATCAAAACACCTATATAGCGAAGCCATTTCATCAAGTAGGAAGTGTTCATAAGTGTATATTTAATCATATTATAAAACAGTCATATTTGTGTTAGTCTCCTTGTTACATTTACCAAAATTTTCTTTGCCAACACTGTATTGTGAGATCCATGTGCTGACTAATGTAAAGTGCAAGAGCTCAAACGTGCCACATCTGAAATATCTCACTACACATCTTAATATGTTAAATAGTTGATTTACTTATTAAGTTCAGTAGTAATTAGATACTATTGTTGTCTTATCTCCATGATAAGGTATTGCATTGTCATGAAACTGTGAGAGGTTATGTTTATTTGTCTCACATCTAACAACTTTCCTCTGAATCATGAAGAGTTACATGTAAATTATATTATCTTTTGTAGGGAAACAATTGAAGAACATATCCTGACAGTAATGGTAAAAGATCAGGGAACGCCATCCAAACGAAATTATGCCCGTGTGGTTGTGACAGTCCATGACCATAATGACCATCCACCTGAGTTTACAAGTCCCATTGTGCAGGGCAAAGTGTTTGAGACTTCACCTATTGGTACTGCTGTAGTTCAGGTGTATGCCATTGATAGAGATCGTGGACAGAATGCAAAGATCTCGTACTCCATAACTTCTGGTAAGTTATATAGTTAGGCTCTCACTTACAAATACACATTTGCTTATAAGCATGTATTTAATACAGTACAGAAGAATATGTATAAAGGCAACATTGTGATTCCTAAGACAAAGTACTTAGTGTATAGTTGATGCTTTTTCTTTTTGTATACCATTCATCAGAGAAAGGATAAGAATTAGGTAACTCCATAGAACTGAGTCCTTCTTCAGATGCCAGTAGTTGCTCAGCCGCTCAAGAAATTCCCAACATTTTAAGGAACCCAGAGGTTCAGTACCATTTTCACAAAATTCCCTTGCTAGTCCCTATCATGAGCCAGATGAATCTATTCCTCACCTTGTTATCTTATTTCTTTAAGATCCATTTAAATATCCTTACATCAGTATCTGAGTCTTACTAGTCATCTCTTTCCATCAGGTTTTCCCACCAAAATGTTGTTATTCACATCACTTTTCTTCCATGCATGCTACATTCTCTGTCCACCTCATTGATTTGATCATTCTAATTTTATATGGTGAGGAGTACAAATTATGATTCTCTGCATTATGCATTTTCCTCCAGCATATTATTAATTCATCCCTCATATGTCTGAATCATTGGTACTGTGTTCTCAGATACCCTCTGTTTGCTGTTTTCCCATAATGTAAAAGATCAAGTTTCAGACCCATACAGAACTACAGGTACCAATTTCATATTAAAATAATTTCTCTGAAATTTGGAAACTTTGTGTTTCATTATCAATAAAAGTTTTAATGGGTTTTTCTTTGAATACCAATTCATGTCAGAACCTGACAAGGATTTCAAAGATAGGCAGAATAATTCACCTTAAACAGCATATTTTATAATATTAATTGTTTCTTATATATTTTCTTAGGTAATGTTGGCAATGTGTTCAGCATTGACCCTGAAATGGGCACAGTGAATGTAGCGCGAGAGTTAGACTACAGTATCATGTCTGAGTATACTCTTATGGTGAAGGCTATGGACAGTGGTTCTCCTGCTTTGTTTTCTACAATCCATGTGCATATAATGGTTACAATGGCTGATAATGCACCACCAAGGTAAGACATACATGTTCTCTTCACAGCACAGAAGTGTCTAATACTGTTTGAATTCTACATTTAGTGCATTCTATATTATGTAATAAATTATAATTTTGTTATGATACCGGGGATGTGTTATCTCACCATCATCTGGCCTGACTGTAGGATTGTTATGTTTTCATTGTACAGCTGAGAAAACACAATAAATACTATCAAATAATTTGTGACCTGCTAAAGTTCTAAGTGCAATGAAATTATTAATCCAATAATTATATATATTTACCCGGAATTATAAGCATTCAGCATATACTGGTAAGAGTAATGAAAGGTGCACTGTTAAATGAATAGTATTTTGTTAAGAATGTTATGTGAGGTTCAGTTTCTTTAGGTTAGATTAGGAACAAAATAATAGGAAAGGATGCAGAAATTTAACTTAATTGATGTCTGTATGTACTGATAAATATACATACACACTAAATTAATTCAACTTTCTGTGTTGTGTGACCCATTATAAACTCTGTTGTTTCCGTTAGAAATCTGTGATTTGTTAAATAAGTATTGCAAAACTTGTTGTCAGTTATTTTACTGCCTAAACTCAGCATCCAATTTTTCTCGCTCAAAAGGTTATAAAGGTTAATAATAATACTTTATTTTTGTAATCCTCTACCTTCAAATGTTTAACAGATTCAACAAACAAGAACATGCAGCTGAGATCTATGAGAATCAGCCAATTGGTACCTATGTGAAGCATCTTGAAGCACGCAGTACATCATCTTTATTTTTTGAAATAATAGATGGGAACAAGGATGATATGTTTTTCATTAACCCAAGCACTGGAGTTATTATCACCAAACGTCAATTAGATTATGAACTGAATAAATTCTACAATCTTTCTGTAGAAGCTACCAATATGGTAAGTAAAAGAACATGTTTCATTTATGTACTAGAGCAGTGGCTCCCAAACTTTTCCATTTGTGGAGCAGCTGAATATCATGTTGCTATATGTGTGGAACACTGAAAAATTGATCTGTTATGCTTTCATCTCAACTAAGGTCAGTGTCAGTAGTGGAAAATATGATGCCATATTATAGCATGTTCCCCACATCTCAGCAAACAGCAACAGCTAAAGCAGCAGCAACAAAACAATAATTTTTGAACATGCTACAGAGACAAAATATAAATAAAAAACACCATTCTAATGAGAGGTTGCAATAAATATGCAAAATTGAGAAAATTATACCCATTATGTTAATTATTATTCAACACTGCATTAAGGCCAACTTTCAGCACCATCTCCCACAAATAGTCATAAACCATTTCCTTCCCATATCCTCATCAAAATGACATCAGCACTCACATAATAGGCATGATATACTGAAAAAAAAAGTGCTTTGTAATTTGTGATCTGCTGCATAAGTTGTGCTCCTGGAACATACTGAGATTTGACGGTTCGTTGCAATGGAAACCAGAAATTGTGTAATGACAATGGTAAATCCAGTGCTGAATAATTTTCCCTCTTTAGTGTCTTCGATGCAAGTATTGTCACCAGTACTTTAAGTCGCCCTAAATCTCTCTTATTCCTTCAGTGAGAGACAGAATTTCACATTAATATAAAGTTTTAAGTTTTCAGTTTTTGTGATGTGCTGTTAATTCCTTACAGGCTGGAGCAAAGGCTCGGTGCGGTGTGATTGTCCATGTACTGGATCGCAATGACAATGCACCACACTTCACACAGGCTGTTTACTCAGGTTCTGTGAGTGAGGCAGCTGCTATAGGTTCCCTAGTATTAACCAATACAAGTGCTCCGCTTGTTATCACAGCCCGTGATCTAGATTCAGAACTAAATGCCTTGCTCAGCTATGATATTATGGAGGCCCTTCCTCGGAAGTTCTTCCATATTGACTCCAGCACAGGTTAGTAATGTGATAAAAGACTTTATATTCTGTAGCAAAAAGGAAGGAAAGATAATGTCATGATTTAGCGGTGTGTGACTGTAGACAGGGTGTGGATTTATGAATATACGTGGGGCAATCCAAAAGTTTCCGAAATTTGAATTTTGTGCACGAATGGTTACAAGTACATCGAAATACCACTAGATGTCTCCTCACACATCTTTCTTGAATCGGTGTGGCAAGCGGCGTCAAGTTGAGTGGTTGGGTTTATTGTTGGTGAACCTATTTCCATTGTTGTGTTTCCGTGAGTTTGCGGTTTTGTGACGGCTGACCTGAGAGAGCAGCGTGTCTGTATAAAGTTTTGTTTCAAACTTGGGAAAACCGCTGCAGAAATGCACCAAATGTTGTAGAAAGCTTTTGGTGAAAACAGTTTAGGCCAGACACAAATTTACAACTGGTATAAGCGTTTTAAAAATGGCCAAACATTGACTGATGATGACGATCGTTCAGGACGGCCGTCAATGTGCAAAACACCAGAAAATGTGGCGAAAGTTAGGGATCTGATTCTGCAAGATCGTAGACTGACCATCAAGACCTCTGTAACACCTTGGGACTAAGTTATGGTATATGGCAACGAATTTTGTCAGAGGAACTGAACACGAGGAGGATTGCAGAGAAGTTTGTGCCATGACTGCTGCAAAATGAATAGAAGCAGCATCGCTTGGAAGTCTGCAGGGAACTTCAGCAACAGCTTCAAGAGGATCCAAACTTTCTTTCGAAGGTTGTCACTGGTGACAAAAGTTGGGTTTATGGCTACGATCCTGAAAGCAAGTGGCAATTGTCACAATGGAAGAGCCCTTCTTCACCTTGGCCTAAAAAAGCTCAACAAGTCAAGAGCAACAGTAAGTCCATGTTGATCTGTTTTTTTGATATTGATGGGATTGTTCGTAAGGAGTTTGTCCCTCCTGATCAAACAGTCAATAAAGAGTTCTGTCGCGATGTTCTAAGGCTTTTGAGGGAGAACATGAGGAGAAAACGCCCAGAGAAGTGGTGCAAGAATGACTGGGTACTCCACCATGACAATGCACGACCGCATTCAGCTTACATTGTGCAGGAATTTTTGGCTAAAAACAAGATGGCCATTGTTCCCCACCCACCGTACTCGCCAGACTTCGCTCCATGCGACTTCTTTCTCTTCCCCAATATGAAAATAAAGTTGAAGGGGCGAAGATTTGATACAGTTGAGGAAATTCAAGTGGAAACGCAGACAGTACTAAACACCCTAACAAAAAAGACTTCCAGGATGCATTTGAAAAGTGGCAGAAACCCTGGGATCGGTGTATGCGCTCCCAAGGGGACTACTTTGAAGGTGATGGTGCAGAATAAGATCTAGGTAAGATGTAATAGTTTTTATTAATATATTTCGGAACTTTTGGATTGCACCACATATTTATTGACCACATATACACACCACTTGTAACTACAAGTAATTACAGCACTGTCTCTAATCTCCAAGCTTTACAGGTCACCACAGCACCTGCTAAGCCTTTTTTCCATCCTGATGTGTATGTATCTGCTGTTCCCTGGCAGTGGCTCCTAACAATGAAGATTCTTCAGCTTCACACACTCAGGCCATCTTGTTACAGTTGCCCATGCAGAACTCTTGTCAACTGACAACTAACTGGGTCCCAGCCTGGCGGCCATTTCACACCAACCTCCTTCACAGGCTGACTTACAACTGACAGCTGAACTCTCTCACTCACCAGCCAAAGTCAGAGGCAAAGTCACATTGCGACTGACGGTTGGTCAGTCAGTCAGTCGGTCAATCTTGATGTCGAGCCCAATCTGGTGCTTATGACCAGATATTTATTACTGTTTGACAGTTTCAGTCTTGTTATTGTGGGACACCCTCTCTGACAGAGGATGACAGCTACTTCACTTCTTTTATAACCACTTTGCACAGACCAAACAGAAAACATTTTTTCTCAACAATTCCTCTATTGTTGCTTGCATATCCGTTACCACAGAAATTTGTTTACCGAGCCATTGCCCAGCAATGTATGTCTCCTCTGGCTCCACTATTCTGTCTCTTAGGAGTCATGTCACAATAATATATGACCTCATGCATCCTTTTGCCTTTTTGAATTCCGTTATGGAGGAAGAGATTTTGATGAAATCTAATATTGTTCTTACAAAAATGTATCAGTCATCCCCTTTCACATTAAGGAATAAATACAGGTTTAGATGTACCTTGATAAGTTTGAGTTTGAGGCTAGTTCAGCAGACTTTAATAAAATGGATGTTATAGGTTATTTTATGTTTACTTCATGGAATGTGTTGTTTACCTTACAAAAATGTATCAGTCATCCCCTTTCACATTAAGGAATAAATACAGGTTTAGATGTACCTTGATAAGTTTGAGTTTGAGGCTAGTTCAGCAGACTTTAATAAAATGGATGTTATAGGTTATTTTATGTTTACTTCATGGAATGTGTTGTTTACCTTACAAAAATGTATCAGTCATCCCCTTTCACATTAAGGAATAAATACAGGTTTAGATGTACCTTGATAAGTTTGAGTTTGAGGCTAGTTCAGCAGACTTTAATAAAATGGATGTTATAGGTTATTTTATGTTTACTTCATGGAATGTGTTGTTTACCTTACAAAAATGTATCAGTCATCCCCTTTCACATTAAGGAATAAATACAGGTTTAGATGTACCTTGATAAGTTTGAGTTTGAGGCTAGTTCAGCAGACTTTAATAAAATGGATGTTATAGGTTATTTTATGTTTACTTCATGGAATGTGTTGTTTACCTTACAAAAATGTATCAGTCATCCCCTTTCACATTAAGGAATAAATACAGGTTTAGATGTACCTTGATAAGTTTGAGTTTGAGGCTAGTTCAGCAGACTTTAATAAAATGGATGTTATAGGTTATTTTATGTTTACTTCATGGAATGTGTTGTTTACCTTACAAAAATGTATCAGTCATCCCCTTTCACATTAAGGAATAAATACAGGTTTAGATGTACCTTGATAAGTTTGAGTTTGAGGCTAGTTCAGCAGACTTTAATAAAATGGATGTTATAGGTTATTTTATGTTTACTTCATGGAATGTGTTGTTTACCTTACAAAAATGTATCAGTCATCCCCTTTCACATTAAGGAATAAATACAGGTTTAGATGTACCTTGATAAGTTTGAGTTTGAGGCTAGTTCAGCAGACTTTAATAAAATGGATGTTATAGGTTATTTTATGTTTACTTCATGGAATGTGTTGTTTACAGGATGAGATTTATCATGCAATGAAATGGACTAAAGAATACATACAGCCAATGTACAGTAACTGACTTGTCCTATGTCATGTAACAATGATCTATAGAGACGAAATAAATAAATATCTAAAAAATATGAAAATGTAAATTTTGCCATTATCATTAATTTGAAGAAGTGCGATGAAGCATAGGATATCAAAAACCAGAATCTGAATAGCAGACATTTATAGAGGGTCAGTCCTGCTAGCATTTTCCAGATTACAACATTGAATCATTTTTATGTTGATACAGGAGCCATTCGTACTGTGATGACTTTGGATCATGAGCAGATATCTGAATTCCATTTCCACGTGAAAGTATCAGACCTTGGGAAACCAAGGTTATCATCAGAGACAGTGGCAAAAGTTGAGATTTCAGTAACAGATGTCAATGACTGTGCACCGCGCTTCGTTCATTCAGTTTATAATACCACTCTTCTCCTGCCAACATATAAGCATGTTGCTATTTTACAGGTAAGCTGATGCACTGATATAAATGATAGAACAAATAAAAGTATTAAATATATTATACTGAAATTTCCAGATTCCTCTAGGGAGTAGAGGGCCTGGACACTAAACTGAAGAAAGTGTTAACAATAGAAAATTAAACAGAAATTATTGGGGTTATTGAAACTGAATGTTAAATAAGAAAAACTTAAAATGGGGATCTGCTTAGAAAAATTAAAATGGTTATCTCCTGAGTCACAGTGAGTTATATTAATCCTGTTACTTTGTGTAAATCTGACTTTGCCTTTTGCTTACATGCCGTCTATGTGCCACATTGCTCATAGATGGAATAAAGTCAAAATGCAAAGTCAAATCTTAAAACTATAATTTTATGTTGAATACTTTGTCCATATAAAAGTTAAATAAGAGTGTAGATGTCTTAGTAGTGGAAACACTTCACCATGCAAGTTGTATCCTGTTGAATGACACTGTGGGTAACTGGGGTATAAAATATCTGTATTCAGAAAATATGTCTCCTAAAATACTGTATATTCCCAAAATGATAGTAGTATGCTGTTACTGAAGTGATGCTATTTCATGAGGAAGGATGTAGTTGGCCTTAAGCCTTTGAAGCCTCAGATTCATCAGTTGTATTAAACAATTCAGTTCCTATGTCATAGTAAACTCAGTGACCTACATTACGAAGACGAATTGGTTACTGGATTAGGAAAATAATTACTTTTTTTTAGGAATCACACCAAGCCCATGCATGTACTGCGTAGACAGAATGCTGTGATGGTAAAGCAAGTGGTATATATGGTAACCACTCTGCCCTAGAAGGTTGATGTGGCTGGGGTAAACAAACTAGCTTCAAACATATAACGTTGAATGATAGAGTGGGTAATGAATAATGAATTGGTAAGGATGTGGAAGGCAGCAGTCATTGCCTGATTTGAAATTCTATCATAGAATTTGCTTGGAGGGACTGAGGAGAACCTTGAAAGACCTCAGTTAGTGTACCCAATCTCCAGGCAAAGATTTGAGTCCAGGATCTCGCAGAAATAATGTATGAGCATTCATATTCATATCTTTATTTGTTCCAAAAATCCATATTTGCCAATAGTGCCTCCAGATGTAGAACAAGTCTAGTTTTATCATATATAAGTCACCAGTACCATAATTCTTAACTACATACACAAATTGTGTAAATGTTACAAAATACCATATGCAACTATGAAAATGAGATACAATATGACAAACCCGCATACAAAAATTTCTATTTCCGTACAAAACGCTGTATCCAGAGATATAAAATTAAGTGAAAATAAGATCTTTATAATTTCAAGAGACAGTGATAGACTCACACATTTTAAAATAATTAAAATGACATAAATTTCTCAACATAGTAAAAAGAGCGATTCAATAGAAAGAATTTTAAGTCCTCTTTAAATAAATCAAAAATGTTCCCTTAGTTTTATCTGGTCTGCCTTGACCATTATGTTTGGGTGTTTCCTTGTAAAGGGAATTATTTAAGTTATTATAACTATTTCTGTTTTATGTACAGGTGAATGCCACTGACCCCGATACATCTGTTGGCACAGCACTGCGTTATGACATAATTGATGGAAATGCAGGAAATGTGTTTGCCATTGATGCCAGCACAGGAGTAATCACAGTTATGGATCCTGACAATATCAAGCCTTTTCCTAAACTCCAGTTACGTGTCTCAGATGGTAAATTTTCCAGTGTTGCAAAAGTGAATATCCGCGTTGAAAAATCTGAAAACTCTGGCCTAAATTTCCAGAAAAATGTTTACACAGGGGCGATAATGGAGAATTCAACCAAAGTGACAACTGTTGCTGTTGTTAATGTACTAGGAAGTGCCTTGAATGAACATGTGATATTTAGAATTCTCAATCCAACAGACAAGTTTGAAATTGGATCCACTTCTGGAGCCATACGGACTACGGGAGAGAGATTTGACAGGGAAGTGAAGGACAAATATGAATTGATTGTTGAGGTAAGTTAGAAATGTTAAACATTTTCTTAATTGTTAGTATAATATTGGGAGTCTTGATTTTCTCTCACTGGATATGATCTCAGATCAGTTGATTTCAGTAATGCATTTCTGTGGAGATTCTGGATACATGTCATGATGGTAGTGATTCTTATGATAGCAACTTCAGGGTGTGCCTAAAACAAAAGCTAATGGAACACAATTACAGTGCAGTGTTCAGCGCCACTTATGATCATTCTCAAGTTTCATTTGGTGCTACTAATATTTGTAGTTAATTCAGTAACACTAAATTATTAACTGTTATTCTGCAATGATTTTGGTTTACTTAGTTTTGTTCGAGTGGTTTTTCCTCCCTGCCTCCCTGTGGTCGAAAACTGTAATGTGAGTGTTCTGTCTCTGAAGAATATGAACTTGGTACAGTAGGTACTAATAACAAGTTGCTTATACTCCCAGCATTTAATTTCTTTCTTTTTTTTTCTGTTCTTTTTTGATCACAAACTCTAACTTACTTACTTACTCACTCATGGACCTGAGCCCTTCTTGAGGAGCTGCCAATTCTGCAGCTACTCAAGAATTTCCCAGCATTTTATGGAAGCTGAAGGTTCATTACCATGTTCACAAGAGCCCTCCACAGGTCCATATCCTGAGCCAGATCAATCCAATTCATACCATCCCATCCTATCTCTCTAAGATCCATTTTAATATTGTCTGCCCACCTATGCCTTGGTCTTTCCAGTGGTCTCTTTCCTTCTGGCTTTCCCACCACTATCCTATATGCATTCCACATCTCCAACATTCGTGCTACATGCCCTGCCCACCTCATCCTCCTTGACTTGATCATTCTATAAAGAGGGAAAAATGTCTTCCCGTGAACAGTGATCATATGTATGTTTTTTTCTTTCGGTGGTGAGAGGCAGAGCCCCTTGGTATTTAGGCTGCAATCAGACCTATTATTATACCAGTCCTGGGTGATAGGTAAGAGAGTGGAGCACTGGTGGAATAATAACTGACAAGGAAAAACTGACATACTCAGAGAAGAACCTGTCCCATTATCACTCTGTTCGACACAAATCCCAAATGGACTGTCCCTCTGTGGTGAAAAGCCAGCAACTAACCAATATATAAACAGTAACTCCATACAGCTCAGACAGAGCCCAACATTTTGGAGGAACATATACCATCTTCAGAATTAAAGAGTAAGCCAAGCAAAAACCAGCAGAAGTGGGCAGCAAGCTAAACTCTTCTGAAATGTCAGACTGTCTCTGAAGTACCATGATGTTAACAATCCAGAAGTTATTTTATTACTTGATTTTATTGCTTTAGATATAAGCAAGAGTTCTGTATACTGATTCAGAAGAGATATTGCTCATTGCATTTTATTCCATACTCTTTCCATGTTAATGGTTTAAATATTCCAGTTTTTTGCTCTGAGCTTTTGACATAATGCTTATTTATGCTGCAGCAGTAATGAAAATCTGCTTGTTTTGTTTCAACAGACAGTATCTTGCTTATATAGTTAGGTTAGCCACTGCCAGAACAAAGTGATTTATAATCAGTCAATATTTTACAATTGAGTATTTATTTCCTGCTACAAGTTTCGGTCCCATAGAACCATCATCTGGCAGTGATGTAAGAATATGGGTAGGGTCATTGAATTGCTGATATAGTTCCATATTTGGTGCAGTGTGTCATACTCGTATGATACAGAATTGTGCCTCGAATGAAATATAAGTATTGAAATTAGGTATGTAAAGATATATAAAATATACCTAGGGTATATTAAAAATAAATATTATACAAGTATGTTGACTTTGTACATGGTGCAATCCAAAAGATCCCAAAATATATTAATAAAAACTATTACTTCTTATCTGGATCTTATTCTGCACCATCACCTTCAAAATAGTCCTCTTGGGAGCTCATGCACTGATCCCAGTGTTCCTACCACTTTTGGAATGCATCCTGGAAGTCTTTCTTTGTTAGGGTGTTTAGTACTGTCTTTGTTCCACTTGAATTTCATCAACTGTATCAAATCTTCGCCCCCTCAACTTTATTTTCATCTTGGGGAAGAGAAAGAAGTCGCATGGAGCAAAGTCTGGTGAGTATGGTGGGTGGGGAACAACGGCCATCTTGTTTTTAGCCAAAAATTCCTGCACAATGTAAGCCGTATGTGGTCGTGCATTGTCATGGTGGAGTACCCAGTCATTTGTGTGCCACTTCTCTGGACGTTTTCTCCCTCAAATGCCTTAGAACATCGCGATAGAACTCTTTATTGACTGTCTGACCAGGAGGGATGAACTCATTATGAACAGTTTCATCAATATCAAAGAACTCAACTTTCGTCACCAGTGGCAAATTTCAAAAGAAAGTTTGAATCCCCTTTAAGCTGTTGTTGAAATTTTCTGCAGACTTCCAAGCGATGCTGCTTCTGTTCATTTTGCAGCATTCGTGGCACAAACTTCGCCGCAATCCTCCTCATGTTCAGTTCCTCTGACAAAATTCATTGCCATCTACCATAACTTAGTCCCAGGGTGTTACAGAGGTCTTGGATGGTCAGTCAACGATCTTGCAGAGTCAGACCCCTAACTTTCGCTACATATTCTGGTGTGATGCCAGTTGACAGCCATCCCAAACGATCTTCATCATCAGTCGATGGCCATTTTTGAAACGCTTCTACCAGTTGTAAGTTTGTGTCTGGCCTAAAGTATTGTCACCCAAAGCTTGCTTCAACCTTTGGTGTGTTTCTGCAGCGGTTTTCCCAAGTTTAAAACAAAACTTTATACAGACACGCTGCTCTCTCAGGTCAGCCATTGCAAAACCGCACTCACGGAAACACAGCAATGGAAATACGTTCACCAACAATAAACCCAACCACTCAACTTGATGCTGCTTGCCACGCTGATTCAAGAAGGGTGTTTAGGGAGACACCTAGCAGTATTTCGATGTACTCATAACCACTTGTGCACAAAATTCAAATTTCTGGAACTTTTGATTGCACCATGTATTAAAGGTAATAAAAGTATTGAAAGATGTATTAAAAATTATTTAAAAAATTATTGAAGTTATTAAAATTTATTAAAAATTAATAATTATGTAAGCCAAGCTTTAAAGTTTCAAAGTTATAGTTACCAGTGTTGTGTTGAGCTACATCATTATATAGTACATGGATCCAATGTTGTAAGCATCCACGTTGTAGACATCCATGGTACCCAGCGATAATTGTCAAAGTATATGGAAGCTATTGTAATATGTAGTGCTAAGGTACACATGTTCATCGATATAATGTTGTGTGATACTTGTGGTTGTGAATTATATTGTATGCACTTCCTTGTATGAGCATTGTACTGGGTATATACTACACTGCATTTAGCTCAATTGTAAAATATTGATTATAAATCACTTTGTTGTGGTGATGGCTAACCTAACTATATACATTTGGGCACGCAAAACAGGATGCATACTGTGAAGATAATATCTTGCTTATTTCCACCACAGGCCCACAGTGATGATGCAAGAGGAGATCGCCCTAGGGTTGCACATGTAATGGTGAATGTAACAATCCTAGACATCAATGATAACTGTCCCATGTTTGTCAACCTTCCATACTATGCTGTTGTGTCTGTGGATGCCCAGAAAGGTGATGTAATAACAAAGGTAAGAAGAGTGTGTCAAGCCCCAAATTAAACAGTTGAAATTTTTATGTTTTAGGGAACACTAAGAACTTTAGGTTTTTACATCAATATTAAGGAATTGTTAGTACTTTTTAAGTTATTACTATGTTGTAAAGTAAAGCTGAAATTATCCCAGGCTATAATTACTTAAGCACCACGCCATGAAGATGTATGGGGATGTGAAGGTGGTGTACCACCATTCTTAACCTCAGCACTAGATGGAGGTGGTGAGTGGCCCACTTCTCATCCCTGCTGCTTTACCCCCAGGGAAACAGTCCCTGGTACCCACTGTACTGGATGCTGAGTGGATCCTAGAGCCAGCCTGGACATTATGGAGAAGAGAAAAGTCTTTTGCCTCTGCTTCAAATTGAACTCATATTCTTCAGTTATCCAGCCTGTAATCTAGTTTCTCTATTGAGCTAACCCAGCTCTTGAAGAAACTTCTCACATTTTAGAAGACATGAACTGATCCGTGTATCTCTGTATTGGAGTTCATGTAAAACATAATCACTTTCGTAAGATTTGAGGTTTCCACGGCGGTGACTATGAAGAAAGCAGTCTTCTGGGATGTGGCACCGTGTAGATGTGTTCTTAACCAACGTTTCAGAGGAATGTATCGCCTTCATCTTCAGGGTAGAAGGAAAAATAAGAAATCCGTAAGCAAAGAGTGAGAACCAGTACAAGCAAACTGGTGTTGGAAATAAACACAGCTATGTGAGAGCAGTGAAGGGGGGGGGGCAAGTCTACATGGGAAATCAATGGAGTGGGAGGGGGAAGGGGCTGGAAACAGAAGCAGGGTTTTTCTATGAATGAAATGAATTGTGTTGGGGGAGAGAAAGGCAAGGTTAACTGGAGGGCACTAACCCTTAAGCTGTGGTGGTGGGGGTTTGCTATGTTAGTCGATCATGGCCTGTGTAGCCTCGTGGATCTGGCGTCATGTCCCAGGGTGTTTTTTAGGGAACAGATGAGAGGCTTCCATGACCTGCTGAGACAAAACCTCCCTCCCTGTTCCCGAAAATTTGAACAGGGAGTTGATGAAGTTGATGCTCTTGTGCAAACTATTTTGCAGGAAGTGAAATGAAGGGGTTCTGATATTTGGTGGTTTTCTTGCTTTTCTCAGGTCAGTGCTGTTGATATGGACAAGGGTGAGAATGGAGAAGTACGCTATGAACTTATTAAAGGTCATGGAGAACTGTTCAAAGTGTGCAGGAAAACAGGAGAAGTGACTCTGAAACAGAACCTGGAAGGACACAATCGGGAATATGAGTTGATTATAGCAGCATACGATGGAGGTAAGGTTGCATTACATTTTATATCTCTTGAGTGCATGTAGAAGAAACAAACAGAAGTAAGGAATTTTTTCTTTTCCTAGAGATACGAGTAAAAGTTTGGTCCTCATTAGCCTTCTCTTTTAGCTCAAGACACATGTTTATGTGCTGCAGCTTTTGATCATTTGTCAAGAGTCAGGGATCAGACTTCATGGCATTGCAGCGTACATTCAAATTTTCTGTTAACATTTTGCGGACCGCGCACCCTTAGAAGGGTTTTCGCTTTTAAACATGGCGGACCGTTCGCCTGTTAACAGGATTTTAAAACATGATAAGTTGCAACACACTATACATCTCTCTGGCACCACCCAAGTTGCACGCAATGGCGTAATAAAACTCTGGAATATTCGCTTACTTGTCAGTAAGTTGATCTCGCTGTTTTCTTAAGCCACTATAAGTGATAATGCTTTGTTGCTCTTCAAGCTGTATGTATCAGCCAGTAGTTAGTGTTGGGGTATGGACAAGGACAGATTCTTTTCCGATGAGCCAGCTGACCTGCCTTGTGAGATGCGTAGTTATGGTGTTTGAGAGAGCAGCAGTGACAGGGGAGAGCAAATAATTGTGGCCACTTGTGGGGGGTAATAACATTGCAGGGACAGTAAAAAATTTTANAAGGTAATAACATTGCAGTGACTAACATTGCGAGGACAGTAAAAAATTTAAAAAATCACAAAAATCTAAACCCTGATTCAAAATTGAAATACAAAGCATTTCTGATGAATGTGGCAAAGCCCTGGGCTACAGACCAGATGGTGGTGGCAGAACCAGAGTCAGACACAGACTTAGTGTGACTGTGCCCATCCAGTCCCACCCCACGCAAGCCTCATGTGGATCCCACAGGGCGACTCTCGGGTGATATGCGGAAACATACCCTCGTGAAAATTGTAAGAGTAAACATTCCAAGGGGAAGCATCTTTCTAGGCAATGCCGTGTTTCCACAGTTCACAAAAAAAGGAGCATGTCTACATCTGCAAGTTCTGTGTAATGCCACTTCACAAAGGGGAATATTTCAAGAAATATCACACTCTCAAGCACTTCTAGAAGCATTGGAAAGTGTTCTCAAAAAATTTTAGTTCATAAAATTAATCAGGAAATTTTATATTAATTTTTAAAGTGAACAGTGCACAAGTTAGGGTAGTAGGTTTAAAAATGCTGGTCCCCAGGGTGATTTAAATATTTAAATCGCCGGTCCACGAAGTGTTAAAGATCTCCAGGAAAACTCCATAACTGATGCTAGTGGTGTCATTGAGTTCATGGATTGTTCGGTGACAGTCTTTGTGTATGACTTCTTGAATTTTGTCAACATTTTCTGTCATTTTTCTGGTGCTTGGTTTTCCCGAACATTCGTCATCTTCACCTGACATTCAACCAACCAAAAAACATGAATGCCATTGAAGGACAATTGTCCAGATTAAAGAATGTTCTCCAAAAGCCTCATGAAGAGTTTCAGGGGTTTTGATAGCAGATTTACTGAGCTTCACGCAAATCTTGATGCAGACGCATTGCTCGAATTGCCATCCATTGCAGACAAAACAAAACAGAAAGTCAAGAAAGCACTCATATAAAAATAATGCATATTCACAGCGCAGTGTCACATGGCAGACTGGTGCAATAGGCTTGTGGAAGTGTGATCCTGGCCTCCCCTCTCATCTTCTTTCACTGAGGCAGTTACAAGAATAACTGTATGAGAACTTTCCAGTACACCTCATATGTTTCAAAATGTAACTTTTAGGCATCCAGAAGTGGAGATAAGAAATATTTTGCAGTTTGGTTTGCTGCATTAATTTTTTGTGTAGGTGGTTTTGCCCATTTGACATTATTTATTTGTAATACATTTAATATGTTTCATGTTCTGTAGGCATCAGTGCATGTTCAACGGAAGTCCCTGTCCATGTGAAAGTAATAGATAAGTCAATGCCGCTCTTTGACAAGCAGTTCTACACCGATAGTGTTCTAGAAAACATCGAGTTGCACTCCCCTCTGTCTGTTAGTATTCAGGCTGAGTCACCTCTTGGACGCAAACTCATCTACAGCATTGTCAAGGGCAATGATTTTGAGGAGTTTGCTCTTGACTTCAACACCGGTAAGTAACAATGTGGCCAGCTACCTGGCCAGTTTGCTTCAGTGCTGCATGTCAGTGTTATGTAGAAGTCAGGATTTCTCATTTTATAATTTTGTCATGAGAAAGAAAATGAATGGAAAGTGCATATTACTAGTAGGTGACATGTGTAATGGAAGGGCATTGCAGTATTCTAACTGGATGTGTGTGCTCACGGATGTCTCAGTATATGAAACTGAAGCACAGTGAATGTGTTTGCTATGATGTTTGGTGCCTGTCAATTTTATGCTATATGCAGAAGTTGTGAATTACTTAGATATTTTAGATGTTTGATCTTACCATTGACATTGAAGCATAGTGAACAGCATGGATATGAGGTTATTGTAAAATACGTTATGAACATTCAGGAGTTAGCACAATGTGCAGTAAATATCAATGGTGCAAAATTAAAGTTCATTGTTTCTTATATGAATATGAATGAATATTTATTTATTTATTGTTTGTCATTGGTGATTGTGGACATAAATCATCACAGTATTTATGAAATGTGTATTAAATATCATTAAGAAGAGCCCAACAAGGACTGTAGGGGATCTTACTCTTGTTTAGCTTTGATTGCCTTTATAACTTAAATTTGATAATTAGAAGAAATTTGAATATTTGAAAGGATTATCAGTTCTCTGTCTCATATTTCTTAGGATTATGGGTTTTGCTGATTGTGTTCTCTCCATAGTACAACAGTTGCATGAAAATATATTGTCCTGGTTTCTTTGCTTCCAAGTTTGACATTTCTATTTTCATTGTTAAACTAAAAAAAAAGTATCCTTCATTTATAATATATTTCAGATTTGCCTCAGTGAAAAAGTAGAGTGGTGTAGCTTTTGATGCTAGAATTGTTTCTGAATGGAATAATATATAAATTTCATAAATTCCTAACAAGTATAATTCACACATAAAATAACACAGTGTTTGGATTATTTAATATTCTGTATTTAATAGATGGAGAAATTGCATCTGTATCCTGTATGTAGAATTTAGTTTTGAGCACATGAATGTTCCCTCATATGAAGACTGTATAATTAATACAAATAACAGATGACTGTTCATTCATACATTCATTCATTTCCCTTATTTTCCATATATCCATACAGGTAACAAACCTAGGATGTGGAAATGATCCCTTTGAAAATAGATATATCAAGATACATATACAAAATTACATGACTCACATAATCAAAATCACTTACATTATTCGATTAACATAAATAATATTATAAAGTAAAAGATTTAATAAAATTTTATTTAAATCACCTATATTAACTGAATTAAATACATTACAAATTTACACATTTATGACCAATTATGTTGATAATATTCATTCATGGAATAAAAAGAATGATGATATAAAACTTCTTCAATATAAATTTAAAATATACGACATAAACTCCGTCCTAACTGCAACAATTTATTGTAGTTCTTTCGTCTTGCTTTCTTTTACACTACTTCTTGTTTTCAGCACTGTTCAAGTGTTATTCTGTGTAGGCTCCCTGTGTGCATGCCGCTGCTTATCTTTAATACACGTAATAAGTAGCTGCTGCAGCACTATAGACATAGGGCAGGTAACCCTGAGAATTTTAAATTTTAAAATTTGAAAAAATTCTAAAGAAATTTTTAAAATTGGAATTGAAGATTTTAAAAGTGCCAGTTTATGAAAATCAAATTGATGTGCGTAGGTTAACAAAGATTTTGTACATATCAGACAGATATCAGCGGGGAAGATTCTGATATATCGAAACCTATTAGTAATGGTGAAATGAACAATTGGGAAGACTAGTGTTTTTTAAATTTTAAACTACATGCAGAGTAGCAGCTACATGAGAGTATACACCTGATGATGGTCATTTGCGGCCGAAACATGTAGTGTAGAAGAAAGGAAGACGAAAGAACTACAATAAATTGTTGCACTTAGGACGGAGTTTATGTCATATATTGTGTAGAGTGCAACAGGATGCTTAAATACAATATTGTAGATTTAAAACTTTTCTCATCAGTAGCCAACATATTTATTGTTTGAGGAAGATGATTAAAAACTTTAATACCTGATATGTACACACCTTTATTGTTCTGAGTTCTAAGTATTATAAAAGTGAAAAGTGATCCTGCTTTGTATGGCAATTTTTTTTATTGCAAGTAGGGTGGGACTAAGTCCCTTGTACTGCGGCCACTTCTGGCCTATTGTACCAGCCCCAGATGATAGGTGAGGGTGATTGTGGAGCAATTGGTGGAATGAATATGGCAGGGGAAACCAAAGTACTTGGAGAAAACCTGCCCCAGTGCCACTTTGTCCACCACAAATCCCACTTCACCAGACCCGGGATCGAACCCGTGCTGCTGCGTTGGGAAGCCAGCGACTAACTGCTTGAGCTATGGTGCGGCCTCTACATGGCAATTTATTGTGTTTTATGTAATTATGAAAAAAAAAATCCTATTTGTAATAATATGTTGCATTTGAAAATGGTGAACTTTTGTTGTAGAAATTGTGTATGTGGTTATACAAAGTAACCAGACCTTCACAGAGACATGGGTCTAGTAAATTAAAAGCAGTTTGAAGCTGAAAAGTGTCTGGTAAGGTCAAACAAATAGATGATCGAGACTATGGGTAAAATATACAAGGATGCCCTCTCAGTACACTGTTTTGGTATTATGTTTAAGCATTATGTCCATTCTGTGTTAAAAACTGCTACCTGACTGACTCACTGAAGTACTTGTAGAGTGTGAGTTGTTCGGTTGTATGGTCCTGGGTCTCCTCTGCATTCTATTATGGCTCTGTTTAATATTGAACAGTATTTATATATTGTTGTTATGGATTTATATGGTGAAAGTATGAAGGTTATGAGCTATTTGGAGTAACAAAACCTTTGGTACTTATATAAAAAATAACAGTTTAGAAATAATTTTTAAATGCAGACTGGAATAGAGGAAAGTATTTCATAAATCATTAGCATCTGTAGGTATATCAGAGTAAATCATGGGTTCACTTCTTTGGCAGAATAAATCTAAAGACAATGTAGCTTTTAATGTATTAATTTTTTCTTGTGCATTGATAGTACAGCTTTTAGTATATTTATTTTAATTTAGGAAATGAATGAATGAATGAAAAAGAAGGACTTAGGAAGTGAAAGGCCTCTTCCACATCAAGGGATGTGAATTAAAATAAAATTTGTACATTTAAAATTATTCTTAAGAGGTCTTAAATTTGAAGTATGGGCTTCAAGAGTTGACTGAACAGAGAGTAACTGTTTTTTTTTATTTTACATTCTATTTTTTAAATTTTTTAAAAATCAACAAAGAAGAAAAACATATACTCGTATTAGTTAGTTTATTTACATACAGTTCACAGAATGTCATTTTTGCTGCAATCAACAGAATTACTCAGATAATTATTTCAAAATAACACAAAGTTCAAGTAACAAGTGCCACAAGGAATGTACAGTTTACATTTACATTTATTTTCACTTCATGGATCCAATCAGTAAAACCCCTATTATCCAGTCTACAAGTAAACTGAACTGGAGGGTGGTTGGATAGCTGACAATCTCAAATAATACAAATATCGTTGAAAACAAGGAACGGTTATTTACACACTTTGGTTCACAACTGTCTTATGAAATAGTAGCAAGTATATCATATTTAGCTTGTAAGAACAGTATCAAAAACAAATGCAAAATTTAACTTCTATAAATGAAAAACTCTGCATTCTTGCCATTACTTACATCACTGGAAGTATTTTCCAAGTGCTCATGTCAAGTTGAATAATATAGAATGTCAGTTAAGTGAAGGCTGGCCAGATAATTGGTGTTCTACTATAATCACAAGTCCAATAATTTTAACATTTCACAGCCACTCTCATCATAGGTAGCTGTAATACTAAACATTCTAAGAAAACATATTGAAAGGGAAACTTCATGTTATTATGAAGTGTATCTAGAAGAATGGTTCATAAATTTGGCTTCTTTGCGTTACTGTATTCTTGGTAAATGGAGTACAAAGGGTGAAAACATGACTTGCACTTGCTGAGTTCTCAGTGAAGTGTGAGACACTGTTGGATTGAAATCATTGTAAAGCATATAACCACCATATTTGGAACTTAGCTCATAAGTTAAAGCAATTACTATAATTTAAATTTATTAAAATAATGCATTAATGAAATTAATTTTATCATGATGTACCATCAATAGCTGTCTGATCCCAGTAAGTTCCATTATATCCAGCTTATTAACCTTATACCCTTGGGGCCTGGAGATCATGATGGATACAAGTCAGTTCTCCAAATTATTTTAGTCATTTCTTCCTGTTGTGAACTTTCATATGTAGGTCAACTCTTCACCAGGCCACACCATAGCTCAAGCGGTTTGTCGCTGGCTTCCCACTGTAGCGGCCCAGGTTTGATCCTGGGTCTGGTCAAGTGGGATTTGTGGGTGACAGAGTGATGCTGGGGCAGGTTTTCTCCGAGTACTTTGGTTTCCCCTGCCAATCTTCATTCTGCCAATTGCTCCACAATAACCCTCATCTATCATCTGGGGCTGGTACAATAGGCCAGAAGTGGCCGCAGTACAAGGGACTTAGTCCCACCCCACTAGCAATAATAATAATAAAAAAAACTCTTCACCAAGTATTTCTCTTGGCATTTAATAGGTAATATATTTAGCTTACTTTTAAAGTTGTTAGATAGTTTATAGTAGTTGGTATCAATTTTTAAATACTTTAAACACTTTCTTTATTATGTCAGCCAAAGAATTGTCCTATATTAGGGGGTGCCGTGCAGTTGGGTGAATTCTCATTCCAGTATTACTTCACAGAGGACTATTTGGGTTAGTTATTTTGTGCAGCTGTGGACTCTTGAGGTTATATTGTTGACATTATGAAGTTGTGGTATTAATGTATAGAAAAACAAAAAAAAGGTTATTTTAAGCTGCTGCCTATTCAGAGAAAATTTGAAGGCAGAATTATTCATAGATGAACAT